TGCCCCAAACTATTGTTTTTATTTTCAAAATCCACTTTGGGTCAACCTCTTCCTCTTAAAACAGGAGATGTCCTTATGTCCACCTATATTCCTGCATGTTTGTGTTTTTCCTCCAGTGTGTGTGTGTGTGTGTGTGTGCATAACAGAGCGAATGAGCGGCTCTGGCGTTAGCAGTAATCTTGGTGGTTCAGAGGGTGGCCTAGTTCACAGCTCCCATGTTTCTCCGCTCAGTTATCATTTTATCGATAACATCTCCCAGAATACTCCGTCTTTGTTCTTTTTTCCCCTCAGTTCTTTTTACAAGCTGTTCCCTCGTCTTTTCTCCATCACTATCTCAACTCAAATTAGTTAAGGAATCAGGGCCGATTTATGATCGTCTTAAGGGAGGCACAGTTAAAGCTTTTCTTCTGCTTTTGAGTCTGAACAGCCACCGTGAGGCCAGTTTTCTGCCACCCGCAGCGACTTTGTTTCAGTAGTTTCAAGGTTGAAACCCTCACTTCCTGTTATGGTGAAGAGGGACACGACTGACGAGTAGATGGTACATTACCATATGTACCATTCTGACAGTGGAGACGCTGTCCATGTTGATGGAGATCTCCGCCCACCGAATTTCTGTGCATTTCTAAGTGCAAGGTTGTTGCTACAACGCTGGCGAGAAAAAGCCACTGATAAACCTACGCCCCTCACATGTCCTGGATTCAGACAGGCCCATCCCAACTGTTTATCTGCATGCGTGAGGACATATAAGCTGCCATATGGGAATAACACGCTGTCATTGGTCGACATCGTCTAGGATGCAGCTCCTGGGAGAGAGTCTGGAGGTAGCCGGTTGTTCTGGAGAAATAATAAAACCTGTGAGTCACATTCTGGAGCCGTTTACTGGCGGGAGGAGAGCTCCAAGATGACTTTTACTTTTGAAACGTAAAACTGCAACAGCGAGTAAACCGTTAGCAGAGCAGCTGTAGCAACAACAGTTCTGTACGTGTGTTTCTGCTCAGCAGTGTTTACGAGCACCTGACTTCTGCATGTCACCGCCCCAATATGAAGTACCGCCCTAAACACTTTGGATTGGTTCTGCTGTACAGGTCTGTGAAATCTCTATAATTCTTTCCCCCCAGTTTTAGCAGCAAACTCGGGAGCTTGTTTTCAGCCTCTTTTTGAGGTAGCATTTAGAGTCTGTGTTCACGGCAATGAAGAAACATGCAACATTTGCTCTTTTCCTCTCTTTCTATGTGAAAGTGGAAATGTGACATGTTGTGTAGGTTTCCATCTGCTGCTTTGCAAAGCAAATATTTGACCAATTGTTCCAATAAAATGTGCAGTGTATTGTATTACAATATTATATCATAACAGAGTTCGACAGGTTGTGGACATTCAAAACGTGTGCTGATGTCTTCAACCAAAACACAACAGAGGTTTGAGTTACACTTTTACACTATGCAGGATTTTCTTTTCATATTTTATGATTTCATAACTTTATTGAGCATCATAAAGTTATTTGTCATGAAAACAAAACCTCTTCCACACAGGCTCATATTCATACCATCAAATGTCTGTATGAGGTTCGGTGCTGCTGAACATGTTCACAACAGAAACATGAAGTTGCTGCTACAACGCAGAGTGAGCTAGTTGAGCGTAATGCTGGAGATAAAGTCTTGTCATCTTGTTTAATGGGATATTAGATATGGTATGAAGTGATAGTGTCAGGTCATGAGCCTAACATTAATATGGATCCTTGTTTCCAGCTCTGAGAGATGTGTAGTAGGCTGTGTGAACCAATCAGGACAGACAGCAAAGAGACTAAGGTGGAACTGGAACAAATGGAAAAAATGGGTGTGCTGCTTAGGGTCAATATGTTTTTATCATTTGCTCAGTACAGTCTCACCTCTCGTCATCTCTCTTGTTTCTGTCATTTCTGTCTGTGCTGTGTCTCATCTTACCCTCGTTTCTCTGCGTCCTCACTTCTGTATCTTCACGCCCTCACCTCCTTTTCCATCTTCTCTTTCTCACCTCGTCCCCTCCTTCTCATCACTTGTCCTCAGCGCCTTCGCCATTGTCTGCCTTCTCTTTCCCCATATTTCCTTTTTTTTTCGCCACCGTCTTCCTCGCCTCCCCTCTCTCTTTCATCCCACTCTACCTTGTATCATTTGATTTTCAAGTTGAAATTGAAATTGCTACAATGTCCTCCATTGCCTCTTCTCCTCTGCTCTGCCTCTCTTTCCTCTGTGTGTATATTCTTTCCACTTCAATTTTCTACCTCAAATCCAATCTTTAACTGAACAATTGTGTTGGATCTCTACCTCTGACTTCTTTTGGAATAGAAGTCATTTCAATCAGCAAAGCTGCAACATCAACACAATAATCTAGACATGTAAGCATGAGGACTATCAGGTATTGATCAGATAGAGACTTCTCTTTGCAGCACCACGTGGAGGTAAAAATGTAACTTCAGTGACACTCCAAAATGTCTAAATAAAATATGACCGTACACTCTGGGTAACAGAAGATCCATCAAACATGATGTCACTTAATATAAACTCATATCAAGCTATGTGTAACAATCCTTACGGCCCTGGTTCCTAAAGATTCTGTCCTCATACGATGAAACTGCATTGTGAATTATGTTTTGAGGGAAACATATTTAGCGAACGTTTGCTTTGGATGTATAACAAATGTGTTTTAAATGATTTAGCAAAAGTGCATATTGGGAGGAGATCATTGTGGAGACTGCTGTTCTTGTCTCATGTGACCAAAATTCGTTTTTTATCCTCAACTTAACCAACTAGTTTTTTTTCAATTTGAGAAAATATAATTTCCTCGAAATGTAATTGAGAGCAGTTTATTGTACAGGATCATCATTTTGTAGGAGACAGGGTTGACAGAGCACTATCTTCAACACAATGCATTTGTATGTCATTTAGAAACACACTACATGAGTCAATGTGCATGCAAGTTGATATTTTGCTCTGTTGAAAGGCATCTTTTATTCTATTGACTACGTTTTATTCTGGCAACTGGCTCGCCTCTGAAGACCTTGTACTTTACTTGGACTCGTGTCAAAAGACGTACAGATAACGCCGGCATTTACTGTATATCCAGGACAAGCTGGCAGAAAGTACAAATAGTATTTGCTGCTGGCAGGGTTCTCTCTGTGAGGCTGAATTGTTAGAGCGTGGCTCTGAGACGGCAAGTAACAGTGAATAGTTGTGGTATTTTCTGATAGTTTTGACAACAACGGACGGAATAACCCATCCAGCACAACAATAGAATAGGTTTTTCCCAAGTTTTGGTAATCATAAACTTATTGCACAAGGACACAATTGCTTGAACAGTTCGTGGAGACAGAGAGAAGTTCATTTGTGTCAGAATTCAGTTCCTTCATTCTGTCTGGTTGAATGCACAGCAGCAAACCTCTTCACCATCTGTCTCCACTGTCCTCCACCAGCTCATAATAATTGCCAGAGTCACAGTGAAAAACCAAATAGAATTTTGCTCCTGTGGTTAAGCTCCATGTCTGTAATTACTGTACTATATGGGACTTTCAGGGAATTTCTGCACAGAATATTAAAAGGTTCATGAGATTAATGCTCTGACCAGTTAATCTGACCTCTGCAGCGGGTGCTCCTGTGGTTTGGTGTGGATGTCCAAATGGGAGTGATGAACTCTGACACCCAGAAATGGTCTTCTACAAAGAAACATGTGTATGCAACCATATAATCTATAAGGTCCATCTGGATGTGGATGTCTTTTATCTCCATCCGTCCACAGACACCTGGTCGATGACCTTTGTCTCCTAAAGATGACGATGCCTTCACGCTATTGGTCCCAGCATCGTTGGTTTTTGTCACTGGTCGTCAGCATCTGATACCGATGCATAAGGCACCCTTGAGTGTCTGTAAGAGGTGCACCGGGACTCCAATGTAAACCCATTTGCGGCAATTTTAGACACATTTTAGAACAAAGGAGGAAGTCAGGTGATGTAGTTGGAAGAGTGACAAAGTCCACATAGTGAGGAGGATGGGGTGGATGGATGGGTCAAACAAACACATGACGTTGACCCAGGAGACCACCGTTTGTGTCTGTGGCTCTTTTATTTAATTACCATACATAACTTAACTAACGTAAACAAACATACTTATTTTAACCCAAACCACAAAGTTTTCCTAAACCTAACCAAGTAGTTTTGTTTAAAATCACAACGTTAACTACGTGTTTAAAAGTGTGACCATAGTATCATGCAACGGTTTGAATGCTAAGTCACTCCTCATATTTCGTGCGTTTTCCTAATAAATACAGAAACACGTGTCAATTTTCCGCTAGTTACACGCATACAGTCTTTTCAAAATAAACTTCCGTGTTCACAGGGAACAACTTCAGGCAAAAAAAATATTTGGTTAGGTTTAGGAAAATATCGTGAAATACTTAGTTAGGTTTAAGAATAGATTGTCAACTACTAAGTAAGGTTTAGGCAACAAATCTACTTCGGTTTAGAAAAAGACTTGTTTAGGTTACAATAACTACGGAGGTGGCGTTACTAAAGTTACGAGACAAATAAATCTATGTTGACTTCTCATTTCACACGTGGCACGAACAGCGGCCTCCTGGGTGAAAGATCGTTTTTTGTTTGACGTGGGCTTTTGCGGTCTGGTTCACATTCAATTTAATTTTGTGGGATCGCTGGATGCAAAAAGCCTGCATAGTTTGATGCGTATGTCCTGGCCAAGTGTCTTCATGTGAAGAGTTGGGAATGAGAATGTGTTGGGTGTACATAGACAGAATTTTGCTTCATTAGGAGGGAGAATGTAAAGCTAACCAATCACAGGAAACAATCTGAAAGAAGAAGAAGAGGTCTGGATTGTGACTCTTAATGTATCTCTAATTGATATGAACAAAACTAAAGCACCAAATAATCTGTCTCCGCAACCTTCTCCTGTTCTATTAATGACAAATCAGGACATCAAAGAATAAAATGTGTTTGTCTCTGTCTTCTTCTCATTCAGGATGATCCCAGCCAACCACAAGTACTTCCTGCTGAGTGACCTGGCGTCATCGCGGGACTACGAGCTGTGTGTTCTGGCCGTCTATGATGACGGCATCACCGCCCTGACGGGCACCAAGCTGGTGGGCTGCGTGTCCTTCTCCACGGAGACGGAGTACGGACGCTGTCACTCGATACGAGACCAGGTTAGTGTATTACACCTCTGCCAGTCTGACAACGTAAGGAGCCCATTTGGATGAACGCTTTATTTCACAGATCCCAGAGTCACTTTGTAATTAGCTCTAATTAATCTGATAATGCCGACGGTGTTCAATTATGTCATTCCAATTCTTTTGTATCTTAAAGAGTCTTTCACACAGTGCTCAGCAGCAGAGATGAACATGCAACAGTTTATGTTTGGTTGTAAATAACAGGCAAGTATGCAGTTCTACTTATATGGAAAATAAACTTTCCAGTAATACATTAATATAGATACTGAGGTTTAATTTGATCTAGTCTTTTTTCAGTCATTAACAATGTTGCATTTGTTTCCAGAAAATACTAACCAAATCCTCGATTTCTATTAGACAGCGAAGCATCTATGCATGTTCATACAAATTTCAATAAAAACACGTAAAGTATTTTGGAAATCAAGTTACAATTCTCCCTTTCAGTTCCCAAATGACATTAGTTATTTATTTTCCCTCTATTTGTGTAGTTAACCATAATCCAGCCGCAGTTAATGTGACAAGTCAAAATGGCAGATTTGAGGTCTTGTGATTTCATAGATGGCAAGTTAAATTTGCCAGTTATCGTAAATTCTTTAAAAAAATAAATAAAATGCTTTTGGTTGCATCACACATTCTTCCTCATCAAAAGGAGTTTGAGCAATTTTCGTTGAACCGTAGATGTTAAAATCAATTCTGAGCCCTTTGAAGGCATCTTGTTCAGGCTGATGTAAAAGTTTGTTTCCTTGGTCAACGATGAACTTCAAAAAGCAAGTAATTAGCCATCTTTAAAGCTTTTAATAAAAGTGTTTGTTTTGGTTTGTATTCAGTTTTGGATGTTATGATGTTGATAAATCATCTTAGTGAAAGGCGAGGTCAGATGTGCTGATTATACATCATGGGATCTACACACTGGGCTAACTATCTTTCTGGATCTTCTCCTTCAGTTCCTGGGAGGTACCATGATCATCATCATCGGGGGAATCATTGTCGCCTCTGTCCTCGTCTTCATCTTCATCCTCCTGATGAAGTACAAGCTCCACAGTAACCATTACAAGCAGAAAGCCGCCGCGCGCCACGCCAACGTCTGCTCCCAGACCAACGGAGGAGGGGGAGGTGGAGCCAATGTCCTGCCTCCGTCGTCCTCCTCTGCAGGGCAGGGTAACTGGAGGACAAACGGACGGGGAAAAGAAAATATGTGACTCGCCTTTGTCATCTGCTCCTAATAATCGACCTCCGTCTCATTGTCTCCTAGGTGGAGGTGCTAATAAAAACTCCCAACCGTCATCGTCAACGGAGGGGATAGGAGGAGCTTCTCTTCGAGGGACGACTGTAGTAGACTTAAATCCCACCCACGACGATGATGCCATCTCCCAATAACACACAAGAAACTGTCAATCAAACCACAACTCACCAATCTCTGAGCCCAAACCAATACTCCACCTCCCGCCCCTTTCTTTTTTTTTAAATTTGTTTTGTTGCTGGTGCCTGGAGCCAAACTCCACTTAACGCCGAGGAGCGACTCCTGTCATTGGTGAGTAGCTGCTGTTGGGCAAGAACAAGGTGATGGAGGCGGGGAGGAGCACTAGTGATATGCAAAAGTAGCCGCATATCCAGCACCTGCAGGGTCAGGTGTAGGGGTACGGACCGCTGGTGGGACCGCTGGTGGGGCCCCCGGTGTGGTCACAGACACATAACTTGCACCTTTTTTTTTGTTTTTTTTGCTGCTGCTGCCAATAAGAAAATTGGCAGCAATTCAGTTAAATATGATAGACAGCAGTGCAGACAGCAAGATGGGGGAGGAGAGGCAGAGAGAGAGAGAAAGAGAGTTTCATTTGAAGTTTGTTTGAACTTGAGATCTGAAACGGACAGGCGCTGAGAGAGGAAGTGACAGAGAGGGCAGTAAACCATGCGGACAAAGTTCATTCAGCCTGCACGGCTGAGCACCAACTGAACACTCTTCCGTTAGAAAAACACGCTTTAATGAACAGTCACTCACCTGGATAAGGGACACACACACACACACACACACGCACAACTGGGTGTTGCTGGTAGGCAATGCTGCTTCCTCAGCTTGAATGAAATAGGCATTCACCATTAAATGACTCTGTGCATAGAGCCTATACAGTGCACACACACACGCACATACACACAGAATTATCTGGTAATATCACCTATTGCACGTGTGAGGAATGATTCATCACCATACGGACATCTAGGAACTAACGCCCCTAAATATTTCTCAGTCTTCTCAATAAACTCATCTCTATATAGTAAATAGTAAATAGTAGTCATTGAATGCAGAGTTATTCAAGAAGTACCTCGTAGGTATTGGTTTATTAATAGAGCTTTGAATGCAGTGGAGCCGCTGGTGCCAAAAGTATTAATCCGCAGCGTTCCTCAACATGTGGACACAGGAGGCTCCTGTCTAATGTAACAGTGCCATGGGTTTATGTTACGGACATAAATTGCACTTGTTTCAACTTAAGTTCTGAGACATTGTGTTTTTAAGTTTTGTTTTGTTAGTTTGATGTATCACTACAATACTCATGAGACACCGTTTTTCCTCTGTTGCAGACGTGAATCAGAACTTTAGCAAATTCAAAACCCATTCCTCAAAAACTGAACCCCAATTTGAAGGTGAATTAAAGTTAGGCATTCATCAGTAATTCATCCAAGGCCGTCTTTCTGCTGCTGTGTGATTTCCCATCATCATCATCATCATCATCATCATCATCAGCCCATCGACGCTCCAAGAAGAGCAGATATTTTATCTCATTCACTGCTAGGGCTAGGTGAATATTCAACACAATCATTATATTGTGATAATATCATCATACTGTGTGTGTAACAACATTGTTTCCAAATGACTGATTCAAAGCTATGGAAAAGAGGGAAGGTAGGAAAATATTTATCTTTGAAAACAGGTGGAAAAAAATGTTTTGTCAGGTGTTTGTGTTTGTTATCATTTTTCAAGTGCCCTGCTATAATAAATAGGACTATAAATGTTCATGTTTTCTTCCAGGTGAGTTATAATCTATCCGTGCACTCCAAACACAAGGTGGAGTGTAATCAAGCTATGTGAGTTAAAACTCACCTGGTCAGTCCTGTAGTGGTGCGCTTCAGCCTCTTGTGGCTGAAATGTGTATTACAACAACAAACACTTGCCAAGACTTTTTTTTTCATCTGTTTTCATTGGTGTAAGAAAAATGGATGTTAGAAAAATGTTCCTGTTCAATACGATTATTTTCAACTGCCCAAACTCTTGACCTGTCCTCAAGTTATAAACACAGGAGACACAGGAGAACAATTTAGATCAGACTTTTAAATTTGGATTTTTTTTCCCTCAGGGCTTCCATATCAAGCTTTTTCTCACACAGATTATGATTTAAACCTAGCACATTGCGGCAACTTTGACTTCTCCTTATGTCTTCTGATATGATAATAACACTACACCACATGGTTTACGCTAACTGTTGAGGTAACTTTGGGAATGAAGTAACTGACAGTGTGAGTGAATTCACAGTTCCACCAAAACTCAAATGGAGAAGTAGTCTGTCGTAATAATAGTGCAGTACGAGGTTATTACTCGGAACCAATGGACGAAGGCATTATCTCCATTACTTCCTTTTGCCTCTTCTTCCCAATACGAACAAGTGTTGTTTCCCTCTTAGTGTCTCCTTGAGTCATTTGTTGGATTTTAATGAGTTGTTTTGTTTTGCTGTCTTCTTTCTCTTCTCCTCTCCTTTCATATCTCAGTTCAAGGTCGTTTTGTTCGTCTGTTAGCCTCCGCCACGGCTTTTCTCTTTATCTTGTGATATTTCCGTCACAATTTCCCTCTGAAATTGTGACGTGCATGTATACATATATCGCCAGGTATCTATCAAAGCTCTGAAGGATTTTCTGCCCCTTTCACACAATGTATGAGCCGTTTCTTTTTCTCTTCTCTTTATCTCTGTGAATTCTGTGTCGCTCAATGGATGGGGTGTGACACTGACGCTGTCGGCTCCCTTCACTGTTTAACTAAACAGGCAGGACGAGTCATTTGTGCCTGTGGTTTACGGGTCCTGTGTGAGCTGGCACAGACGGGCTGTGCATCCAAACCTGAGGGAAGAGGCTCTTTTCTGTATCATGAGGCTCTGCATCGGCCTGCTTCCTTTTCTGTGCGTCGTAATATCGACGACAGACGAGCTCCTCCTCCGCTGCGTCACCGTGTTTGTTGCCAGCTCAGCTTATTATAATCGAGATAATGTATACACATAACGAGTGTTTTTTTTTCTTGTTTCTTCAGAACAAATGTCATCAACACGGTTCTTTCAGTCCTCTTCTCAGTCTCCTGCTTTAAACTGTCATTCCGTCATCAACGTGATGAATAGAATTAGTGGTTAAATGTAGCTGAGGCTTTTACATGACTGCTACAGCATGATTAAAGTATCAAGTAGTACCATATTGGCCCAAATATTATTTAAACAACCTAAATGACAATCCATTTATGCATCTGTGTTTGTGAAAAGACCAGGGGTCTCTTTAATAAAACAGAGCGTAGGATTCACACTAAACGTTTGCATACATACAAATGAGGCAATGTACTTACGCAAACTAATGTTCTGATTTATAAAAACCTAACGTACGCCTGCCAGTGAGCAATTTCCTTTTATAAATCCCAACTCGTATACCGCCATGAATGTCTATGGACAGAAATGAGCCTGCTGATCACTGGTTCTCTTTACGGAGGAATAGTGGCAACAACACAACCACCAAGAAAAGGATTTTCTTCTGACAGAGAAATGGAGGTTGTTGCTGGTGAGCTGATCCCCGAACACTCATTCAGTTTGTCTGAATACAGCATTCTGTCCCCTTGAATGAAATAAACAAAGTTGTGTTCACTGCAGCGATTTTACACACAAAAACTATATGAAAACTTAAATCATACTTGGTGTTATTTGCACAGTATTAGAAGATTATTATTCATTTATCATTCGCTCCATTGAAAGGAAAACATCTGCTCTTTTGAAATATCATCAAATATAATCTGACTCTTACTTTTTTTAGGACGCAATATCCATAAGAATATGTCATATAATGTAATCGTAATAAACAAATGCTGCAGACAGTTACCACCGTCATGCACTAGTGGTAATGTTGGAAGTGATTAATGAATCAGTCCTGGAGTGGGCGAACCAATCACAAGACTCACATGTGTTTTTACTGATTCAAGTAGATCATGAAAAAACAAACTTAATGACTATCTAATATATTACAAGAACATTGGCACCGTCCGCCATGTTCCGAAAAGAATAAGAGACATTATCCGCCACGCTGTCTTCTTCTTCTGTTGAGTTTTTTACGGCGGTTGAAATCCATAACTGTCGCATTACTGCATTGTGCTGGACTGTCCCTCGCTCCATCTATTCCTGCATCACCATGGCATGTGTGAAAAGGTGCCAGATGGAAATGTTCCTGAATGATGTGTGAATAGTAAGAATCACTAGCAGTGCCTCAAAGGCTATCCCAGTACTTTACCCGGAACATGTGTGGAAGAGACTTTCTCCTCTCCTCCTCACTTTCTTATTTGACTCTCCAGTCTTTGTCTCCTCCTTTTCTCTTTTATCCACCCGCCATGATTTTCTCATTCAACTCTAAGATTTAAGAGTTGACTCTTACTCCTATTTCTTTATCTTCATCTCCTCCTTTGTTTTTGTTTTCCTCCAGTCATCCATCCATCATCCACTACTCCACTATCACGTGATTCCTCTATAATATTACATGCTCTTTTTATCTACTCATCATATTGTCCCTCCTTTCCTTCCTGTAATAAAACACCTCCCATCGAAAACACACAGTTTGTCATGGATGTATGCATACACACCCCCACCCACCCACACACACACGCAGACACACACACACACACACACAAACACACACACAAGCAGAAGTACACTTTTTTTCTGATGGAAGCAATCTCAGCAGCCCCCTCTGGCCCTTAGACCATTTGTTGTGGGTTTAATATCAACCACACGCGCACACATACATACACATACACACAAACCTTGGCAATCTCAACGTGCCTGCTTTCTCTCCCACCCATGTGAACTGATATAGTGTTTGTTGATCAGCCTGACTTACCGCTCCTCAAAATGCCATCAGTATCCTCTCCCAGTAGACACACACACACACACACACACACACACACACACACACATTGAAAGTAGGGATGGCATGTGAGTCCGCCTTGGAAGGAGTAAAGTTCACCCAAAAACACAATAAATAGTACATTAAACTCACAAAGGCTGAAGTATTACTTCTTATAGACTTCATATGTTTACTCTTGTTTTTAATCTTTTGTTGTTGTAATTAACTTAATTAATTTTAGTTGATTTTAATTTTTTACAAAACTACTATTACACTATTGTACATACTGTATATGTTTACATTTTTATTACATAGTTTTTTTAGTTTTTCTTCTAATCTTTGACCAAACTCTGGCACCAGAATTTCCTTTGGGATAAATTAAAATCAATCCCATCTTATCTT